TGTGTGTGTGTGTGTGTGTGTGTGTGTGTGTGTGTGTGTGTGTGTGTAATTTCAGTAAAATAAATATGTTTTCACTCGTCTCGTAGTCGAGTGTAGTCAATCAATTAGTAATAACTTTTTCACATTCCGCTCTTCACAAAAGGTGAATATTAAGGATTTTGTTTATCTTTTATTAAGGATTTTGTTTAAATATTCTCCAGAAAATAATAATGACGGTGAGCTAAACTAAAAAAAATTGCTCCGGAAAACTAAAACAAAAAATAACAACAATCTTTACAGAATATTTTTATAACATTTTCCTACGCCTTAAGAATCATCACCCCTTTGTTTCCTAAATCGGTCAAAATCTGTGATCAAGAACTGTGTTAATAAATTATAATAATAAAATTTGATCAAAAAGATGAAGCGGCCGTACCACGAAACTGTATGCTTTATACAAAAGTATCGCTCGTTAGATATTCATGGCTCAGTAAAGAAGGACCACAAGTGTATCTCGCGAATCTCGCGACGTACACTCGTTTGCATATTTATTTTCTCGAAATTCGTTCAAAATGAAAATAATTGATTTTAAAATAAATTACGCATAGGTATTCTGATTACAAAATTACGTAACTGTGGAAGGAAACGTCCCTGTTTATTATCTTCTCGCAGCTGTGGTGTTTTTGCAGTTTGTAATGGCACAAATAGTATTTTTGCGGTTTTCGACGTTCCGAAGCGTAGCGGCAGCAACTAAGAGTTTATAACTTACATTGGGCACGCGAAGTAGGTACACACGCCAGCACAGCAAGCTACACATTGACGTATCTTATTCCGTTGCAATGGAGGTGATTTTCGAACAAAAATGTGTAGTCTGATGTCCCGTTGTTGTCCGTACAATTGCGGCGTCTATTTAGATATAAATTTCTGTGATACAGCGTCATCTTTAGTAACTTTTTCGATCTTTTCTTTGTTATATATAAAAAGACAAAAGAACATAGAAAGTGAAGGTTAATTTAGGTTAGGACTATAAGTTGGGCTTGGAGCAACGACGTTTTGATGAGCCCGTCCATCACAACTGTAACAAGGACGATCACTGAGTAGATGATGGACAAATTGCTTGTCAATCAAATATCTTTAGAGAATTCGACAAGAGAGATTATTGTAATCCGGAGGAGAATATTCCGTGCCGTGGTGAGGACGCTGCAGGAATAGAGTTTGCTTACTGTTTATAGAATGAACCAGCTAAATGAGACCAGCTCTCTTCATCGGAAAACCGTGTAAAGATGGATTGGTATACAAACAGTAATTTTGCACAATTTTCAAAGTTACCTACAACCTTCGTAAGCACGAAATTAACGTATGGCGAATTAATTTATTGTTATGGTTCATAAATCATATAAGTATGAAGGAGTCATAAAATAAGTCATAATTATATGCACTACTTTTTCCCAACGGCTTTGGCTACATGGGTTTGACATCGCACGTAGCTTTGCTGATTTCCGGGACCAAATGAAATATATACTCCTCGCGTAATCAGCCACTCCTCGTCCCCCATCGACATCAGCTTCATTATTACAAATCAATTGTTCAGCACCATCTTTAGAGTTGTAATTTTTTGGATAAATATGGATGTGTTTAAAAAGACGAAAGAGGTTCGTCAGAAATACAGGAAGTGGATTTTCATTTTTTCAGCCAGAGACAAGCGTGATGTTAAGTACGTATTTTAACAATATAGATACATAGATAGATAACTCGTTTATCCAGCACAAATACAAACAGGAACAAAACATTTACAATCACTTCACAAAGTATAACACAAAATCATATAGAACATTTAGTAACAATAGAGTTCGTCCAGAGAAGTACTGCTACCTTACCTATTTCCGGCGCCAAGCAGTAATATCAGCATTACTATGTACCGGTTTTGAAGGGTAAGGGTGCTGGTGAAATTACAGGCACATGTGACTTTTTAACTTATGCGCCAGTCACGCAGTGGCAGTGCCCTCTCTTTGTGATTTAAAGCTAATGAGTGACACTGCAACTGTTATGGATAGGCTTACCATCAGGCATACGACTCGTTCGTCCCGTCTCTTGATATAATAAAAATAAAATACATTATTAATTTAATATATATTAATATAAAACACATACTGCATATAACATTTAACAATAACTGATTTATTTAAATTGATTGTAATCAACTTTATAGCCGTTGTTTAATTTTATTTTTAATTTGAATCATAATTTTGGTTCTACTTTGTTTTAGTAAATTTAGTCCAATGCATTTGAAATCTTAGTTTGGTCCAGATACGAGCTTACCTATAATTGGCATATACATAAGAACAATATTACATGTAATATCTAGAATAATCATATATATGTAATTATGTTGGTTTGCCTATTAATAAATAATCAATTAACAATGACACACCGTCAAATCTTACATAATTACTACTTGCATGACAAATTTTACTATAAAGACCGAAATTTTAAAACCTGAATATCTATCGCTCCTCCATACTCAGCGCGATTATATCATAAATATGAAGTTTCTTATTTTAATTTTGCTGGTTGGAATAGTTGTTGTACTTTGCAGAAAAGATAAAATTTACGATCTGGAAAAAGCCGAAGAGCTCTTCGAAAAATTCATTAAAGACTACAAGAGAGTCTACAAAGACGACGAAGATAGAAAGATTCACTTCGAAGCATTCAAGGCAAATTTGGAAAACATTATTAAGAGAAACCAGGAGGAAGATAAAATTATTTTTAGTATCAACGAAGTAGCTGATTATACTAAGGAAGAATGGGATAGTAAGTGGGGTGAAAAAGAAAGAAAAAGATTAAGAAACTCTGTTCGACGCGAGTAAGGAAGACGGTGTGTTATTTTCACGTGAGTGCAGAAGATATTCATACTATATTATATTTTGGAGATCTTTTTTATTTGGTAGGCGTAATCATTTCGTAGTTCCATGACAATATAAAATTTGCTACAGGAACTAAATTAAACACCAGTCTACCTTTCCCGGAAGATCATCACCTAGTATGACTCTGATATGAAAGCCACTGGTGGGCCTCTGCCCACAGAGGCGATCGCACTTAGCACAATTCTAGCAAAAAACTCTCTTACATTTATCAATCTTTTCATACAACCCGTCTTAATTTTTTTCTACACACTCCAGCCTTTCCAAGAATACTCTCACATTGATTTCAGCCTTTTTTTTCAGGCCCTTAAATGTAGACATGGACTCATGAAAGTTCCTGGTTGAGTGAGTCGTGCCCATAAGAGTAGAACTTCTAATTATACCTAACGCGTGATGACACGTATCTATATAGTTTTATATATATCAAATAATTTGTTGTCTATGACTTTCAGATGTTACCAACGTTCCCAGTTAACGTTTAAAAACCTGTGTTATATATATTTTCCACAAATATTATATTGCATGGCTAATAATTTTTTTTGGCGGAAGTACGAGACTTCTGGTCACAGGAAAAGCTTGACCGGCAACAATAGTTGTTTATAAAGTATGTACTGTAATATTTAGAACCATAATTCTGGCATAAATTAAATAAACATGAACGCACATGGTTGACGTAGTTGTTTTTTTTTGTTTGTTTGGTTGAATTAGTATTTTATTTGAATTTGTTTACCCACTTATTAGATAATTAGGATGGAAGAGATGTGACTACAGTTTAATATTAGTTTATTTTTAATGCGTTAAGATCCTTCAGCTCGCCCTTTTATACGGTGGTGCAGTCAAGGTCATCAGCGGCCAGCTGGAAAGTGTCAGTGTCAACAACGAGCGACATACATTATACTATAGTGGCCCAGAACTCAGCCACACCGACCGCGTCACACAGCCGCCATTAAATCCTCAAGCGTGCAGGTGTTAGGGAACGCAGGGCATGATATGAGGTGGGCCATCATTTGAGTCGCACCGCACAAGCAGTCCAAGTTAGAATCACCCGAAAATCTCCACCTGAATAAATTGTCCTTGCTCCAACCAACCTCGAGTTCGAAGTCTATTCAAAGACGATCAGATCGAACGTCTGCAAGGCAATTTGTGGCCAGGAGAAAGACTCTCAGAAGGCGGGACAAACGTAGATGGTACTCTTTCGCGCCAAAGGATGCATGCACCTCGCCTGAGCCGGTTCAATGCTCAGAGTATCGACACATTTTACAAAACTTTTCCGGCTCCTCAGTCTCTGTTGCATTGTGAAGTGGTTGTGCAAAGGGTGCCGAGAGTCGTTGGCCAAATTTGCTCTTTCGCAAGATGCCGCTACATTTCTGCGGATGTCTGGGGGAGCTATGCCAGCTAGTGGCTACAGCAATCTTACCGGGGTCGGCTGAAGACAGCCAATTATAATCCGGCAAGTCTCATTTAATGCTATATCCACTAATTTTGCATGGGAAGGGGTTGTTGAGGAATAATTGCAGTGCGTGACCAAAGTGTGCTCAGGCCGTACGAATTACTAATAGTATGTTGTAGAATTGATGAATAAACGCTCATTGTTAAAACTTGGTGTTGGTTTCCTTTGTTAGTTATAGAACCTTAGATAATAGTGTACTTGTCCGGCCCGCAACCCAGGCAATACGTTACATTACTATTTTTTCCACGGTGCATATGCCGATTTGTCTACTTCAAGTTAGAAAGTCTGGAGCAACGATGCTTTGGTGAGTCCCGCCCATCACGGCCAAGATATAAAAGTTGCGTGTCAATCAGAGAAGAATATGCCGAAAATCTGATGTGGTGCCGAGGGGAGTAAGCTGCAGGAATGGCGTTGGCGTGCTGTTTTTAGAATGAGTAAGTCGAATAAACGATTTGGTGGAGTTCACGGGAAGGGCCGGTATGGGTAAAACAATAAGAGTACTTTAATGAATAGACATGCTTTTTTATTGCGCGACGATGTAAAGATAGATACAGTCACTAATTATACACAATCTTCTTTAGTAGCAGAAGAGCTTGTGAAAGAGTTCGTCCAGGTAAGTACTACCACCTTACCTATTTCTACCGCCAAGCAGTTATTTAAGCATAACGGCGTTCCGGTTTGGAAGGGTAAGGGTGCTGGTGAAATTACAAGCACATGGGACTTGTCAACTTATGTATCAGAGTGACGGGTGCAGTGGCAGCTCTGAGTGGCACTGCAACTGTTATGGATAGGCGTGTCGGTTACCGCCAGGCGCACGACTGTTCGTTCCGTCACTTGTCACATAAAAAAAGTCGCCTTCAATCTTGGTAAGCAAATAATTATCGTGTGGCGAATTAATTTATTGTTATGCCTCATAAATCATTTAAGTTTATAGCAGTCATAAAATAAATCACAATTTTATGTGTGCACTAGTTTTTTTCTACGACTTTAGCTACATGAATCAAACGTCAGACGTCGCATAGCTTTGTTAAATTCCGGGACCAAATTTAATATGAATACCCCTCCGTGTAATGAGTCACTCCTCCGCCCCCACCGAAACTAGTTTCCTTATTACAAACCAGTTATACAGCACCATCTTTAGAGTTGTAATTTTATAAGTAATTTTTTGGAGAAATATGGATTTGTTTAAAAAGGCGAAGGAACATAGGAAGTGGAGGGTCATTTTCTTTGCCTACCTCAGTCGGAGATGGGCGTAATGGTATGTACGTATTTTAAAAATTCATCTTCCTCTTCTTGTCGAGTCAATGACAAAAACCACCAAAAAGTGTTACATTACTTTAGCCCAGTAAGCAGCCACCTATATGCCCCTATCCGTTGTCTTTAGCAGATCTTCGCGGGTGCAGCTGGTCGGACACAGTGGGCATGACAGCAAGTGATACAGAGTTTGTGTGGGGTATCCGCAAGCACAATGATTATGAGTTGGGTTAATGTAACCCCATTTCACCAATCAACTTCCTGATTTAGTTTTTCTACTACACATGCTGTCTCGCGATGTACATTGGGAGGAGCAATACCCGCTATACTAATGACAGAGGAGTGTGTTTCAAGCATACCGTTGTAATGCGACAAGTATCATATAAGGCTATGGTGATTTACCTCGCGTGAGCGGAATGTTGCCACACTGGACATGCGAATTCACCCACGCGTGAAAGACGCACTCCGCAGCACTTCTTCAGCTTTAGATGTAAGTCACCGGAGGAGGTGGTTTCTAGTGCCCACTTTTGGTTTAGTCTTATAGCAGTGTGGTTTGTATGTCAGTGCCCTGTCGAGTGTTATACACAGCTAGGGTGGGTTCGACCGTAACGTCATCGTAGCTGGCTGCCTTTCCATCCTGCAAAAACTCAATACCGGAGTTCACCTCTGTTAAGGTAAAGGGCTTGCTCAAATGGTCAGTTTGTGGTTCCAAATCATTCAATTTACCGGTTTTAGTTTTTTAAACGGTGCGGTGGTTCAACGTTCAAGAGTAATTGGTGAGCAACCTGATTTGCTGTGACTTGGCCCGGATTGTTGGCTGCAGGGGGACTGATTGATGTTAGTCTCTGGATGGTCAGCCACGCCTTCTTGCTGTTGTGTGTCATGTCTATGCCCGTCAATAAGTGCATTCATTTTTCCTTGCGTTTTTCACCGATTCAGCGCGACAGCTCCTCACTAGTCGCAAAGATGTCTTCTGAGAATGGATTTAAATCAAACAAAACCTGATAGTATTTCAGGAGGGCAGTGGCCTAATTAAAGCCCGGCACATAAAATGTCCGGCATTCGTGTGGAATATGCTGGCGGGATTCAGTCCATATTATGTTAACAAACTTTTGATAATTGCTCTGGGTATGTTCGATTTAAAGTAATCTAGTATCTACGCCTTGAGAGAATAGTTGTCAGTTTGTCTTCAAGAAATTAAATCGCCGACGGAATGGCACCATCTGTGGTTTTACAACTGACTCGATAGTGAGAGCAATGGGTTGGTGTTGGGTGTTAGGCATTACAGGGCAAACAGATTTTTTTGCACATCGAGCTGTTTGCAAAACAGCTCGATGCTGTGGCGAACAAAAATTACGTCGGGATTGTAGCCTCGGAGCCAGCGGCGGCTATTAAACGAAGCAGGTAGTTTTGCATGAGAGTCAGGTTCACTGTTTCCGCCCATTCGTGCAATGTGTGGCCATAATTGTAAGTTGAGGCATAACCTCAAGTTGTGCGGTAGCTGTTGAAGTCTCCAACAATAACTTTTAAGAGGTGTTCGTCGAAATTGCTGGTTTTATTAAATTGAAATGATTGGTTTGGCGGTTTTTAAATAATCATAACCGTGCATCGACCTGTGTCAATAGCCGTAGATCGAATAGCTATGGTCGGTTTAGCAAAGATAACACTACAATATTTTGAAAGCGGAGACTCAACGACAAGCGCCATTCCCGGAATTAGTGGTCTTAGTTGGTCGGCACCACGATGAGTCTCTTGGACGCAAAGTTATCGCTTGGCGAGTTTTGACATAGCGTCGCAAGTAAGTCGCTCTTGATATCGATACGTAGCGTTACGTTTCCACATTTATATGGCGAACGACTATGGAGTGGAATTTCCTGCCTGCAGACTTGTTCCCTGCACGTTATAACTTGGGCCTTTTCAAGGCGACAGTGAATAGGCATTATTTAGGTGTGCATGATCCATCGTCGACCTCATTGTCACTTTCAATCAGGTGAGATGGAGGTGATGGAGATCAAATGCGCACTTTCATTTTATTAAAAAAATTGGAGAAATGTTTGATGTTAATCGATATAACGGAAAGAGCTGCTTTTCGGCTTCAGGGAGGGCCTTTAGAGGTATCGTTTGGTTTTAGCAATAACATACCGACAAACATTACATATTTATTACTTGCATGATAAATTTTACTATAAATAGTGAACAGTTTAAAACCTGAACACCTATCGTACTTCGCACCCAGCGCGATTATATCATAAATATGAAGTCTCTTATTTTAATTTTGCTGACTGGAATAGTTGTTGTACTATGTAAAAAAGGTATAGTCTACGATATGGAAAAAATCGACGAGCTCTTCGAAAAATTCATCAAAGACTACGACAGAGTTTACAAAGACGACGAAGACAGAAAGATTCACTTTGAAGCGTTCAAGGTAAATGTGGAAAGACTTAATAAGAGAAACGATGAAGATGACGCTATTTTTGGCATCGACAAATTCGCTGATTATACTAAGGAAGAATGGGATAGCATGCAGGGCGTACCAGCTGACGGTAAGTGAAGTAAAAAATTAAGGTTCTTAATTCGAGAGTAAGCAAGACGGTGTATTATGACATGAGTGCAGATGATATTATTCTATACTCACTCGGTTTTAGGGCCCACTGAAAATCAGCGTCACAGCCTTTCCTCAGTGGTGACAATAGCTGAGTGGGATCCTGTTACTTACGCCACAGCCGCGCACATGACACTTAGTCTAATTGTGTTAAATATTTCATGTTTGCTTTGTTGATGTGTATGATGTTATTTTTTTTCGTTTTTTTCAGTTATTTTTATTTTAATTTTTTGTTTTAATGTAGCATCATCTTTTTTTTTTGTCTTCATTTTATTACTGTGTATATTTTTGTTGTGGCGTAGTAATAAACGACTTCTGTTCTATTCTATTCTATTCTATATTCATAATTATTATGAATACATTTTGGACATCTTTTTTATTTGATAGGCGTTAAGTGCAAATCATTTCGTAATGCCATGTCTCAAGATCGTCACCTAGTATGACAGATGAGAAAGCGACTGGTGGCCTCTGCCCACTGAAGCGATCGCAATTTGCACAATTCTAGCAAAAAACTCTCTTACTTAACTTACATTTGTCATTCATTTCATACAACCCGTCTTAATTTTTTTCTACACACTCCAGCCTTTCCTCCACTCCAACCTTTCAACCTTTCTTCAACCTTTTTTTTTCGGGCCCATAAATATAGACATGGACACACGAAAGTTCCTGGTTGAGTGACTAGTGCCCATAAGAGTATATAACAAGCATATGTATGTGTGTGTATACATATATCAACTAATTTGTTTTCTTTACCTTTCAGCTGTGACCGTGCCGCCACTCGAATAACGTTTAAAAACCTGTGTTAGAAATCTTCCCCACAAACAAATGTGGCAACAATACATAAGTATACATGGATTCAGCAGACTTCTCCAGATTTATGTATAACCTAAGTAATAATAGAATAGAATAAAACAGAGAGTTTTTATTTCAGGTATAGACCCATATTAATTGTTAGTAAGATTCGTTCGTGGTTCAAAATAAAATCCTGATTGCAGCGAGAGTTTCATGGCATGACACGTGAAAAATTTTCCTACCGAGCGAAACAAACAACTTTTCACCTCATTATAGCGAGGCAAATGGTAGATAAAAAACGGATTAACGTAAATAATGTACGACAGATCGCATAGTTGAACGTGTCATTAATATGTTTTTTTTTCATCGAACGAAAAAGTTAGGTTCAGGGTGCAGATAAAAGTTCTTGAAATCGAACTTGACGATGGACTGTATACTGAAAGCTTTTCCGAGCTAGGGAGGTGAAAAATATACATATATTTAATATATCGCACATGACAACTAACATACTTTATCTCAAAATGGCTTTAATTAAGCTTTAATATATTAAGTTTCAAAGCGACAGTATTGTCCTGTCACTTTGAAATTAAATCGTTTATGACACATCAATATAGCGAGATTTTGGAGAAAAATTATTAATATAACGCAATTTTGAGATAAAATATAACATGACGCCATTTTTGTGATAATATGTTATAACTATGTTAGTTGTCACGTGCGATATAATAATATGACCATTTTCTAAACAGGCAATGCAAATATTGCGATGCCTTAGATTGAAGTGCTTGATAAAAGTTTCTGCCTTTAGCCAGACGAGCTAAAGGGAGAAAAATTTATTTTTTGTCCTTTTAGTTTTGAATACATAGATACGTTTTTATATATCGTCGAAGGATTCGTCCTTTGCATGGCTAAGGAATTTTTTTGGATGGAAGTAGCTGCCAGACGCCCGTAGAGGCTTGACCGACAATAATTGCTATTTATAAAATATTTACTGTAATGTTTAGAACCATAATTCTGAATAAACATGTGTACGCATGGGTGACACAGTTGTTTTATATTTATATATCCACTTATTAGATTTAGCATGGAAGAGACGTCTAATTTGAAATTAACATGCAAGGATAATATTCTTGCATGGCGAAGAGTCGATTTTTACGATGTAGATCAGCTTTTGATGTATATTTTGTTATTATTCGAATATGAACATAATTTGAAAGAAAGAAAGAATAAAAGAATGAAAAAAAAAACGTTTATTTGCTAGAATACAGTAATTACACAGATCTTATAGAAAATTAGGTACAATGTATTCAACCAGCAAGCAGGTGTGCAAATAAATATTAATTAAATGAAATATTTCGGCCTCCAAAATTAATTGCATTTCAAATTAATATTAGTTAGTATTCGTAAATTCTAAATATTCCTTATTACTATACATATTGAAGCAGGTATTCTTTTAAATTAATTTACGGCAACGAGGTTGGTATAAAAGTTTCATGATTTTAACTCTGGTTTGCCTTTGTATCACTTCACCACATGTTTTCAAATATAGAGGATGAGAATTAACAAATACATCTTTAATATACATGCATGGCAAAGGCAGTATGATCAGTTCCTTGAACAACGGTTTGCAGGTATCATCGAACCACTGATCGCTCGAATACACTTCTTCTGAACCTTGAACTCTTTCTAAATTTACTGAGTTGCGTACAGACGAAACGTAGCCGTCGTGGTAGGCCGTCAACGCCGCTTCTCGAGAGACAATTTGCCGTAGTCTTCTCAGAGCGCAAAAAAATCTATTTAGTCTCATATAAAGTTCGATATGTCCCTTCCAGTTAAGGTGTTTATCGACTGTCAACCCAAGAAAGTTAAGAGCTCTCATGCCAAAAAAGTTTTGACGTTGGCTCCGCCCAAAGTGAAACAAATATATGTCTGCAGTTCGCGTGACACGCGACAGGAGATGTTGAATTTTGCGCATTAAAAGTACCAAATTCGTTTTAGCGGAATAACTCTAAAACTAAAGGGATTAAAAAAAATCCGTAGTGACAGTTGTCGATCATGCATAAATATAATTAATTATCTAATTTTTGTCCTAATAACCTGTAGCATTTCGAGGATAAATCTAAAAAATGTGAAAATTAGAGGTCATTTCGTGATTTTTATCTATCGAGGAAACTTTATTGTTTTATGTTTCTGATTAATGTCTATGCTTGAATATATCGTGTAGTTACTCATACAATATTTTACTTTGAACTTTAAAGTGGATATACCCCTCTAAAATCAAATCGAACATTAGGAATTTTTCCTCTGCTCCCTCTTAAATGTGTTAACTTCATCTACAGTATCGGTATTGTAGTGAATTTTAATTGGTATGGGATTTAAATTGTATGACGTAAACGTCAAAAATTTAGTTTTGATTGAAAAATTATAATTAGTTCGAAGCTTTAATGTCTTCTTCGAATAGTATGTTAAAAACATTGTGATTGATTAAATATTAATTAGAGCATTTAATGCGATGTTGTTATTTTGTTTATTTAATGTATTTTATAAGCAATCATTGACGTTAAATGCATCGTATAATTCACACTCACAGTGAATACTTAAATAAATTAAAAAAAAATCTAAATACGGTCACGCATGTCCTTCTGGCTGCCCGTGATTATACTTTTCCACAATTCAGTGTCATTTTACGGCAAGTACTTGTAAGTTAAGTCTTCAGTCTAGTTGCTTTTAAATATCCGGGCAACGAAGCACAATTGAAGGTAATACACTTTTTTTCAAATGACTTTGCCAGACCAGCAGAGATAATGGTGACAGAACATTGTTTTTTTCTTATAGTAACACAATATGCTTAAGGGAATAGTAAAAAAGTGGTGAAGAAATATGAAGCCAAGGACTACACAAATGGAAAAAGTATGAAGAAATGGAAAATGATGTAGAGAAATTCGAATTACAAACAGAAAAATATGTTTAAAATAAAAACAGAAAATTGCTGTTATGATACATAGGAAATACGATTGCAATGAAAAATGGAGAATGGTGAATGACAAAATAGAAGTTGTACAACAACACCACTTAATCAAGAAAAGTAACAAATACACCCGGGAGATAGACGACAGATGAGAACCAATTTTTGATCATGGTCTGTTAAAAGCTCACAATAAGTTTCATTTTAAGTAATCTGATATATCTTTTAATTGTTTCTTACAATATTTTAACGACGGTTTTATTGACGTGTAGAGAATAAATCAATTTTATGTTCAGCAACATTATAATCTCGAATTTCATATATTTTGAGTTCCAACACTATTTATTGTAATAGCAGCGTTCTAGTTTTACCCATGACTTTGGCTACATGGGTTAACATCATACATCACGTAGCTTTGTTGACTTCCGGGACTAAATAAAATATTAATACTCCTCAGAAGAAATCAATTTCCAACTTCCATTTGGTTTATAAATAATTTTTTTTCACACCATCTCTGAGGTTGCAATATTTTTTCCATTTTTAGGGTAGTACTGAGAGCAGCAGAAAGAGCACGACAATAGGACGATTGTTGATGAAAAATTATTGAAAGACCATTATATAAAAGGGAATGCTTTGATGGTTTGGTCACGTGGAATGGATGGACATTAGTAGATTGACGGCACAAAGTTACAGAGCTAATGTGTATGGAAACGGGCAGAGATTGACCTCAACACACAATCAGATTACTGTATCAAGAATAAATGGGTTTGTATGAAAGACGAAAAAGGTTTGTGAGAAAGGTAGCAAGCGGAGGTGTATGCTCTTTAACTATATGCATATTTTATCAATAACACACCGATAAATATTACGTATTTATGACTTGCATGAAAAATTTTACTATAAATAGCGAACATTTTAAAACCCGAATACCTATCGTACTTCATACTTAACGCGATAATATACTTAGCGCGATATTATATAATTTAATCAAATATGAAGTCTCTTCTTCTAATTTTGCTGGTTGGAATTGTTCTCGTATTAAGTGATAAAGATAATAATACAGTCTACAATCTCGACGAAGCCCCAGAGCTCTTCGAAAAATTTATTAAAGCCTTCAATAAAGTCTATAAAGGCGAGGAAGATAAAAATATTCACTTTGAAGCGTTCAAGAAAAATTTGGAAGCCGTTAATTTGACAAACCAGGCCCGTCCCAACGCTATTTTTGTTCTTAACAAATACAGTGATTATACTGAGGAAGAATATAAACTTCATGGCTCCAAGCATTTTTTTAGTTTTGATAACAATTAAATATTGCTTAAAAGTGAAATAAAAGTTAATTACTAAATCGAATAAATGATATACATAGATTAGATATTGAGTTTATTGGAATAATACCAAATCTATCGCCAAAAGAGCTTAGGATGTTTAAGTATGCCAGTTTCAATTCTGGTCTTATACTTTTTGTAACAATTTTGCTGTAGCTTATCACATTGTTCACGGAGTAGATCGTATTCGAATTTGTCCCTCAGACTATTGTACTTACGGCAACGTTGTCTAATTTTATTCTTTACAGTTAATAATTTTATAAGACTTCTGGAAAACCAGAGCGTATATTTACCGTCGGTTGTCCATTCCTTAGGAAAAAGTCTGTCCACGATCCCTTTAACTACATCATAAAATAAAGACACCATTTACATCTGCACATTCCTCAAATTCTAATTGACCCTAACAAGCTCTGCAATCACATCTTCGTCATCTGTTTTGAAAAAATTATACTCTGTCCTATCAGTCATTGGCAAATAAGTAAGACAGCATAAGTCTGTAACATCTATCAGCAAATTAGGATGGTAATGATCAAGCTTACTAAGTAGGTCCTGTGCTAAGCCTACATTCACATTCGTTAGTGTACTCAGCACAAGATCCAAAATTTTACCGTTGCTATTTTAGCAATTGTTTAATTGATGTAAGTTATTACTATTCAAGAAATCGACTAAAGTACAGCCCATAACATTATTGATGTAATTAGAGGGAATTAAACCAGTATTACCATCTCCCCCGCTAGACCAGTTTATAAAGTTTAAATTGAAATCCCCTAGTATAATCAGCTCGTCAATATTATTGGACGATACATTGTTCACATTGTTGATGAACTTTTTTAAAGATTCAAGCTTTGCTGGTGGAGGCAAATATACTGCAGAGGGCTATCTTCTTGATTATTTTATGAATTTTAACTTGTATAGTTATCCAAAGGTTCTCACAATCACTTTCGCATTCGACATACGGTCTGATATTATCTCACTGGACACAGCTACTAACACACCACCTCCATCCTGCTTACAACCTCTAAATATTGGGCGATCCCTGCGAAACACTTTATACCTAGAGTCTATAAATTCCATATCATTAATACTAGAGTTTAGCCATGTTTCCGTAAATACAATAGCCCTATAATTACTTTGCAATATTTGATGATTTATATCATCCGTTTTCGTTCGTATTCCACG